AACCTGTCTAGGTGAGATGTGTCACCTATGCTATCAAAACTTCAAAGCTCAAAAAATGGAGACCTATGTTACACTTGTAACGTAAAGGAATACTCTAAAATCAATAGCAAGCACAAGTCATAAGGTCAAATCAAATCACTTCCCATTTCTCTTCTACAACACAATGATAAAAATGTAATGTGTATGGGGATAGAAACTGGGGATTGTGGTACCATATAATTCCAAATCCAGATAAGATTTATTTATCTGAATAACTGGTTGACATTTCGACTCCAGTTCGTTGTTTATGACCATGTACGCGTTTGTTTATCCGATCCGATAAGGATTACTAAGTTAGGTAGGCCTAAGAGTAATAATAAACTGTTTGTGAACACACTAAGGGGGGGGGTGGGGGCCTAAGTTGATGAATACCTATAACCTCAACATATTTCAGTAAGCGTCCTTAACCATTTTTATAGGTGACCTTAAAAACTGCCTGTGTTCGAAACAATGCTGGCTGTCTAGGATAATTGAAGGTGGCACAGTGGTTAAGACTCCCGCCGACCATGCCCATGGTCCGGGGATCGAGCCGTCGCCGACGCACACCTGATATCTCTATGGTTGGCCTGCGAATTCTGGGCTACCGATATCCACGCTGAAAATTCCATACATGTACCAAAAATACGGTGTGGAATCAAGCTTTAATCAAAAATTAAATTAAAATTAAGGTAACCCCTCCTAAATCTATCCCGTTAATGATGACTGGTGCTAGCTGTTGTTCCTGTTGGTTGGTTATCTTCATCACTTGAGTCTTCTCTACGTTCACTTAGTGTCCTGTATTCCGCTGCCTGCCACTTCCACCAGTTTGTTAGTTTTCACCTGCAAATCTTCGAGTTTGTATAACACCAAACATAAATCATCAGCGTATTCTTTTCTCCTCGCTCCCTACAGTCTCACACAATTACGAATATCATCGATGATAATAAGCAGCCAGCCATGTCTTACTTCTGTATTCACTCCGAACGCATCGTCGAGTTTTCCATTGTGGACCATCCCTGACACATGGCATTCTCATATAGCCAGCCAGCTGTTGAATGAGGTTGATAAATATTTGAGCACTCACTGCACAACGTAGTGTTGAAGTAGCTTCCAAAATACTTCTCAGTCGCCATTGTCTGTTGAATGCCTTTTTGCAGTCAATGAAGTCAGGGTACATATTCGACTGGCATCCTAATGCTTTGTTCTGTAATGATAATGCATAGAGTTACAATTTGATCAACAAACGATTTACCTTTACTGAATCTAGCCTGTTCTTGTTGGCGGAGTTCTGCATCCAGTGCATCCTTTATTCTCTCCAGGATGACACAACATAGTATTTTACTTAGCATGGAGAAGAGTATTATTCCACGCCAGTTCTTGCACAGGCACACGTAAGTCGTCTTTCTTTGGTAGCTTGAGAAATTGGCTTTTCTTCCAATCGGTAGACACCTTTCCTACCTTCGAAATCTTTTGCAGCAATGGCGTAAGCAACATGTGCCACAGTCTCTGGGTGTATTTTCAGTGTTTCGAGGGGAATTCCGTCTAGTCCTGTTGCCGTCTCCGCTGGACTTCAATGGCTTGATCGCATTCACCATTTCTGGTTTTGTTGGTTAAGAATTTTATTCATTCTCACGAAGTTGAAGAAACTAACGAATTAATAAGTGACCGTAGATGTTACTGGTATCCTGGATTAATTTGAGAGCCAAGTCAGATTGAATCATTATAAATTATTTAAAATAATGCCATAGTATTTAAGAAAAAACCATGTTGTTGATTTTGATTTTTGTTTCTCAATAAACACATTGAGATTATTTTCGATAATTTATAAAGGTTAGTAAAGTTGCATCAAAGGTACCCCTAGAAACTGTGTAGTCATAAGAGGTTAAAAGTCGACATCTCACGTGAGAATTTAATTGGCCACTTAAAAATATTGAATAAAACAATTGAAATTCAGACACATAATCACACACACACACACTGTCTTGTTCTCATTCTTTAACCTACAATAGACCAGAATATTTACAAAGGTATGTAGTTTATGTATCAAAAATCATATTCCATTCTTAATGCATGAAAATACTCAAAAGAATATTCCTCCTTTGTTTTTCTGAATCGACATTAATGTAGTACGAGGATTTTGAAGAATACATCCCTTTCAAAGTTTGCAGATGACAAAGAAGGGGCTGAGCGGTAATGGACCAACTAACAACTTATTTATTATTTCAACCAATATGTCATTAACAATCATCAATCCTGGATGCACCTCCTCACTGGTCATGACTTCTGACTAGAACTCCACGAAACTCTATCCTGTAGCAAGTCACAACAGAGTATCAGATGAATTTTCAATAGTTGATTTGTAAGAATTAGATTTGTTTATACGAGTTTTGATCACGGATTGATATCAGTTAGGGAAACATTGAAAACCTTGGAGTAAATACGACAATAATGAAGACAGACAACATTTCACCCAGGTTTTTTTTAATCAACAACTCGAGTTGTAATCTCGAATGCTTGCTTAATTCTAGCATGAAACCATTTCGATTCACAGTGTCAAATCGATAAATAAATACATCAGTACATAATTCATCAATCGTAAACACTATCCATTAAGGTCTGTTAGTATATATATACTACTTGATTGTTATCAGTAGTTGGAAACCACTCACGTGAAACGGTAGGTGTTTGTTAGCTCTATATATATCCGACAGACGTTTCGCTTGTTTGGCGTCCAACTTATCAGTGTGGTGCACATTATTTGATTCAATTCTCAAAGAGCTGAAACACCTCAAACTACCTGAATTCTGACAAGTTACTTGGCATTATAAGAATCAATAACTATTATAGCTGATCGGTGTATATACACCTTTATGAGGCATTGTGGAGACCAATCAGCGTACGATTCTACAGATGAGAACACGTGACTGAAATAGCCTAGACACCAATTCGAAACTGAAAATAGTAACGTGAGTTCCCTAAAGGCCGCAAATATCGTTTGCTTATGAAGCCAATCTGACTGACTGACTGACTGGCTGGTTTCAACGTAGAACTTTGCACAGACATGCTCCAGTTTCAGATGCCACACTCCCTCCATATACCAAACAAAGAGAGAGATTAAACAAAAGAGAGATAATAAACGGAAGTGTGAGTGAGGCGAGGAGTATAGTAATACGGAAGAATAACAGAGCTTTATTAGATGTGGCAAATAACAGAGTGAATCCATCTGAGCCAGCAACTGACAACAAGGATTTTGAGACAGTTATATCACCAATTGTCTCCAGCCTTCATTGGTTTTTACCATCGGGAAGTCTACACCTCTCCACGAGACTGACTACCTGGCTTAAACTAAATGTTGTGGGTTTCATTGACTTTTTACTTCCTTTCATTTGATCACCACAACTAGCTTTCTCTTTTCCAACCTGATCTTATGTCAGTTAACATTTCCCGTCAGAGAAGGCGATGGCTTGGCATGTTGATCACGTCTCCTAGCCATCTCAATCGGTGTAAATTAACAATCGCATTGATTGATTCCCTCTCCCCACCTACCTAGACTTGATCGATGCCTCACCTCAATATTACTCTCCCTATTATACCGCCTAACACAGAAGATAGAACACAGGCACCTATGATAAGAAACAGCTAGCCGGCGTTTTCACATCTTCTACTTCTATTGGCCATACTTCACTCATAGCCAGTCATAAATCAGGACGGAAAGAACTGCTGTCGTACATTACACACGTCCGTCTCTCGCAAGTCAGCTGGACATCACGTCTGCTGAGCGACAGAGGGCGTAAGTTGCCAGACAACTGCCAAACGGGCCGTTTATATCCGTGCTGAGATTTCGTAAGTGATCCACCCATTGGCGTTAGCTGGTGCAACTTCTCGAACAAGTCCTTTCTTAAAGCTAGGAGTAAGTCGATGCAGTCCGGTTATGTAGTATCAACTTACATTTGACAGAAGCACGCGAATCGCATTCCAAACACTAGAAGATTATTGTCTGTCTGTCTGTTTTCGACATGAAACTTTGCACAAATGTGCGGTAGTTCAAGTCGCTACACTCTATGTAGCACACAAACCACCAGAAGAAAGTAGAAGAAATGCAAAATAGAAACAGTAAACAGAGGTGTGAGACAAAGGAAGAGTAATAACGAAGAACAAAACAGTATCATTGGAAATCATAAGTCACAAGGAGTGTACTCCGTGGATCGAAAGGTACTATGGGAATGTTTGACTGTGAAGGGAGTGCCAAGAAAGTACTTTGCAGCCATAAAGGAGGATGAAGCAGACTCATGAGCAGTACACCCGCCTTTTGGTCGATAGTCGGATATCTCGTCCACGCCAGAGACGACGGAAACTGGCATATGCGAAACTAGCCCTCTTTATCCGTGTTGAGATTTCGTCAGAGATCAACCCGTTGGCGTTGGCTTATGGTATTTCCCAAATAAGTGAAGCGATTAACGTGCTCTACCACTTCACTTCCCATTTCTAATCCAGGAGTCGGTCAAAGACTACTGCTCACCTCAAAGTGTTCAGAAGGTTGCATTTTGTCAGCAGGAGGGAGGACTATGCCATTCGCATATTCTACACCGACGATATTATTCCCTGATGTTAACAAGTCAATCTCTGAGTTGTTGAAGTCAGTCAGTTAGGGTTAAGTCCACTAGAGTACATCTATGATAAAATTAAAAAGGTGGGCATCCCTGACGGACACTATTCACTAATAAGTACCCAAACTCAAAGCATCTGATAGTATCTTCTCTCACTAGACAAATACACATTAAGAACAATTAAACACATTAAATTATTACAGCAATCAGATTATTTAATAATAATTTTTTTGTAAATAATTTTAAGACAGAATATTTCACAAGGATTGGAAAGAGAAAACAACAAATCAAGACACAAAAGCAAATCGATAATTATACAAACAAAAAAAAAAACAAACAGAAATTGAATAACAACACAATTATGTGAACACTCACTTGTAAAAACATTCAGCAACAATATTGGCATTAAGAAAACTTTGTAATACAGAATAACAAATATAATTTTCATTGAAAGATTCAACATCTGGAGAGGAAAAAATAAAATAAAAAGAAATAAAATTTCCGGATAAAAGCGAAATGCATTAAAATATCAAATTTTACAGAATTACATACAGTTAAACATTCTCAAGTATTGGTTATGTAGGGATTTTGTTTTCATTGCATGCAGGATATAATCATGAGCTGACATCAGTTAGAGAACCACTGGAAAACCGGCTGGGAGTACTGGACAGCTATTTCGTCCTAGTTTGGGACTCTTCAACAGTACACACCCGCCATTCGCCTCAATCAACCCATAAGGTGGCTAAAGATCATTGAAATGGGAATTCATCGCTTCAAACTATTAGGTTTAAGCAAAACATTAAGTTAGTTTCAGTGGAAAATGTTTTTACAAACAAACATTGGTGAGAGATACTGGATGTGGTCCGGAGAAAGCTTCCAGACTGACGCGCTCTTATACCTCATCTAGCCTCATAGTAATCCTAGTAAACTGGGGAAATTTATGCCAAAGTGACGATAGCAAACCTACTTCGCAAAGAAAACACTATCAATGCTGAAAGTTCAAAATTCAAGCTTGAAGCTCTATGTTCCCCTTCAAACGCGAAGGAATAAAAAATACATGAAGTACAGGATATCTGTTTCATCCTACTTTTCAGCAGCACACATGCATATATTTTTATTTATTTATTTTTGATTACAGCTTGATTCCACACTGTATTTTTGGTGCAAGGACATTAGTAACCCAAATTATGCAGGCCGACCATAGATATCAGGGTATGATTGAATTTCGACTGCCTCATCCGAACTGATAGATGCTAGAAGACTTATTCCGGCGAGCTCCGAATTCAATGAGGAGCGAAAGCTGCACAAAAGGAAACTTACGAAAAGTCTCCGCAAGGACCGTGAACAGTGGTGGTGACAAAGGCGAAAGAGATGGAAAAAGCATCGGCGATAGGCAACACTAGGCAACTCTTTAGACTCATCAGGGAAACGGGTGGGAGAAGGCAAATCATAAGTGAGACTATTTCTGAGAAAAATGGCTCCTTAATTAGCTCTCAGGATAGACGCCTTGAACGCTGGAAAGAACACTTTGAGGGACAATTTAACTTGCCTACAGCCACACTGAACCTCCCCGACATCCAGAACACACCCGAATGGGATATAGACACTGGTCCGCCGTCTGTAAGTGAGGTCACAAAAGCTATCAGTAATTTGAAACGAGGCAAAGCGGCAGGACCCGACGGAATTATTCCGGAGGTGTTTAAATATGGGGGTGACATACTAGTTTGTAGATTAACTGAGGTACTAGGCAAAGTCTGGGAATCAGAGACAGTGCCATCAGACTGGGGTAAGTCACTTATTATACCGATATTCAAGAAGGGAAACAAGTCCTCGTGTGATAATCATAGGGGGATCAGCCTAACGAACATAGTCTCTAAAATCCTAGGCTCAGTAATCATGCATAGACTAAGCAGAACTCGGGAGGAACAGACAAGGGAAAATCAAGCAGGCTTTAGACCAGGTAGAGGGTGCATAGATCATATCTTCACTCTTCGACAGATTCTAGAACATAGACACACTTTTCGGCGTCCAACAATTGTCATATTTCTTGACTTGAAGGCGGCCTTCGACTCCGTGGATCGAAAGGTACTATGGCAATGTCTGACTGTGAAGGGAGTGCCAAGAAAGTACATTGCACTAATCAAGGCACTCTATTCAAACTCACGTAGTCGTGTAAGGGCTTATGGGGAATTGTCATCTGAATTGGTAACAACCAGTGGTGTCCGACAGGGATGTCCACTTTCCCCATTTCTGTTTAACTTCATCATAGATATGCTGATGGAAGTATCCTTAACTGAACGTAATGACTTAGGAATCGACTTGTTACCAGGGAATAGTCTTATGGACTTAGAATATGCAGATGACATAGTCCTGTTAGGGGAGGATGCTGACAAAATGCAGAGTCTTCTGAACACCTTGAGCAGCAATCTTCGTATGTTTGGCATGCGATTCGCCCCTAAAAATGTAAGATGCTGCTACAGGACTGGACACGTCAACTACTAACTTAGTGATAGGGAGTGAAGTGATAGAACATGTTGACCACTTCACCTATTTGGGAAGTTGTATTAGCACCAACGGACTGATTGGCGATGAAATCTCAGCACGGATCCGAAAAGCTCGAGCTGCTTTCGCTGACTTACACCATCTCTGGCGTAGGCGTGACATCCGGTTATCAACCAAGGGACGTGTGTACTGCTCATCAGTTCGCTCCGTCCTTCTCTATGGCTCTGAAACATGGCCAATACGAGTTGAAGACATGAAAAGGTTGACTGCTTTCGATCATAGATGTCTGCGATCTCTGTCTCACGTTAGGTGGTTTAATAAGGTAAGTAATGTTGACGTTAGGCGTAGAGTGTTGGGCAAAGAGGGAAAATCAATCGACGAGGCTATAAAGTTACATAGACTGAGATGGCTAGGTCACGTGCTGCGCATGCCTAACCACCGCCTCCCCCGACGGGCATTACTAGCTAGCTGATATAGGTGCAGGTTGGAAAAGAGCCAGTGGTGGCCAAACAAAAACATGGCCTCATCAATCCATGAAATCCTTGACAGTTAAACTGAGTCAGGTAGGGAGGATGCAGACTTCCGGGTTGGGGCCCTCGGGACTCTAGGAATCAATGGCTGGAGACAATAGGTGACATGGCTCAAAATCGTTGTCAATGGCCAGCGCAGATGTATTCAGTCTCTGTAATCTTTCATATTCCTTTCTACCATTACCCATTCTGTTTCACTCTTATACTTGTCAGACTCTATTGATTCTCTTCACTCATCTTCTTGTCTACCTCTGTGTGCTATTTGGAACGTGGCAACTCGAACTGGTGCACTTCGGTGCCAAGTTCTATGTTGAATCCAGACAGACAGAGACAGATATCAGGTGTGCGTCGGCAGGGGATGGAACCTCGGACCATGTGCATGGTAGGCGAGAGTCCTAACCACTGTGCCACTGACCAACATATATATATATATATATATATATCCTTGAAGATTGCAGATATGCTTTGCGGATGAGGGTCAATAACCCCCCTTTCAAAATTGCTTTAAACCAATTAAAGTATCCACAAATTTGACTAAATGAGATTGATTGTAAGTTATGTGTCATTTAGTGTTATCCAATTATCAATTCAGGTTATCACCAAAAACAGTAACCTACAGACTAGTTTATATTTTTGTTATGAGTAAAAATCAATAATTTCATGGATTAAAATGTTTAAACGATGTACGAAAAATTCTCAGATTAATTTATTGCATAATAAACTTTCCTTTGATCCAGGATCTTCAAATGAAATAAAAATCCATAGTCTATCTATCATATGACGCAATGTTGCTGATTTTAAAAGACAGACTAATAATCCTTTAAGATATTTTCCCATCAGTGGTTAAAAAGTCAATTCAATATAGACGTACGTGAGTACATTTCGTGACTTAAAAACATAATTGAATTAGAAAAGATGACGAACGCATTCCTATTGGATAGTAATTCAGAAAGTCCAGTGTGATTCAATTAGGCTGTTAGAGTTCACCTTCCCCCCCGCACCCCACTTAGCTTCAAGTAGGACATCCTGTTCGACTAAACGCAATAAAAATAAGAAGGCAATTGGTGGATGGTCACTAGCAGTGGTGGAATGCAGAATAACACGCGTTTTGTCCTATTTCGGACTCATCAGTTAACTGGATGTACCTGTATTCCCCAGTGGATCAGTGATGGTGTTCCCACCGAGGCTCGAACCCAGTCAATGCCTATAACTTCAAACATCAAAGCATTATCCACTAGACCACTTGGGCCACGAGAGCCAGAATACAAAAGATTGCGGAATGTGAGACGGTTATGATGAGGATGATGACGGTGATTAGTCATAACAATGTGGAGAAGGAAAATTGACAAGTTATTTCAAGGTTGTAATCGGTGCCTGCCAAATGGGTGAGTGATTGGCTCGCATAGAGGTAGTATGCATTTAAGAGAGAACAGTAAGATTGCGGTGAATAGCATTGCATTATCATCAAATATGTGACTTGGAACAGCTGGAGGCAAATACTGACAAAAGTGATAATACCACTTATAATAATTCTGAATACTACAAATGGGAAATTTGATAGTAATGAAAGAATCGTAGAATGAAGGGTATAAATTATAATGAATAATTATCATTATTAAAAGTCAATCTGAACGAAGAATATTCCTTTCAATAATTTTTCTTTAGGTTCTTACACTTAAAAAATATAGTATTTATTGTTGTCGTTACAAGCCAACATAGGTTCTCTGTCTGTCTTTCTGGATTCAACATAGAACTTCGCACCGAAGTGCACCAGTTACAGTTCCCACGTTCCAAATAGCACACAGAGGTAGACAAGAAGATGAGTGAAGAGAATCAATAGAGTCTGACAAGTATAAGAGTGAAACAGAATGGATAATGGTAGAAAGAAATATGGAAGATTAGAGAGACTGAATACATCTGCGCTGGCCATTGACAACGATTTTGAGCCATGTGTCACCTATTGTCTCCAGCCATTGATTCCTAGAGTCCCGAGGGCCCCAAACCCGGAAGTCTGAATCTCCCTCCCTACCTGACTCAGTTTAACTGTCAATGATTTCATGGATTGATGAGGCCATGTTTTTGTTTGGCCACCACTTACTCTTTTCCTACCTGCACCTATATCAGCTAGCTAGTAATGCCCGTCGTCGGGGGAGGAGATGGTTAGGTATGCGCAGCACGTGACCTAGCCATCTCAATCTATGTACCTTTATAGCCTCGTCGATTGATTTTCCCTGTTTGCCAAACACTACGCCTAACGTCAACATTACTTACCTTATTAAACCACCTAACGTGAGAAAGAGATCGCAGACATCTATGATCGAAAGCAGTCAACATAGGTTACAATAGTCGTAAACATGAACTGGAGATGGTGGAGAAAAAGCCTCTGTTTTTACGTCTCCAATTCAAAGGAGATACTCCTGGCGGAGATTCT